AATGTAGCCGGGGTAAAATTGGGGAAGGGGGTAATATAAAATAAAGGGATCATGGTTTTATAGTTTATGGAACGATAATGCAAAAGTTTTTGAGTTGGAAGATCAAAAGAAGTCGTAAATTAATAACATTGATAAACCAGATAAAAGGAATCGTTTCACAACGACTACACCGCATACGATGAATAAATCAGTTGAGTACAATATGAATGTTCATTCTCTAGTGCATTGTTCAAGAGCTGACCTAAATGGAAGACATAAATGTACCTAAAATCGCAGAAGTATCTGTTCTTCTAAGTCAAAATATAACTACTACACCGCAATAAGCATTAAATGGGAACACATGACGTACAAACACAGTTTATGGTCAAAACGAAAATACAGCAGGAGCCAGGAATGATTTGTTTTACTACCCAAAAGATGAAATGCACAAAATAACATTGGAATTCATATCTTCTAGTTCTGCCTTCCCTTGATTCTTCCTCAGACAACCAGCTGATTCATTCCTTAGTCTTAACATCTGAAATAATAACAGAAGTAGAAGCTAATTATTAAATGTAAAGCCTCAGTTGTGTTAATAAATAGCAATATTCTACTGTAGTTGAAATAAATAAAAAGTAAGAAATATACCTTCTTCGATTGCAAAATGAGGACATTGTTTATAGCTGTAGTTTAAGATCGAGTAATGGTTGAAATGCTTTTGGATGCCAAATTGTAAACATGTGAATCTGTGGTTCATCTGAATATTCTGATTCAATGATGTATACTTCTGCCATGAATTTGATGTTGCGGCATTCTTTGAGCAACTGAATTTGCTGGTCATATGGCATTGTTTGGAACTGGAGCGGTGGCATTGATCACAACACGTACAATTGATCTCAAGTTGCAGTCTTTAAAATATATAAGACATAATGCAAATTTGGCGGGCAGTTTCATCCGACAACCTTCTGCCACCATTTATGGCTTGAAGCAAATTCGTAGGAAAAATGACGACTATGTCATGCATTGTCCTGTCCTCAACCTAAAATTTGGTTAAGGCATATATTTTACATTCTTAGATTTTATTTTCATAAATTGGATGGAAAGTTAACAATTTGGCTATTATATTGTTTTTGAAAAGGTTTGGATATTATATTGTTTAAAGTTCAAAAGTTTAGCTATTATATTGTATTTATCCTATATTTATCAACAAAGTTCACGATATTTCTCGAACCATTCTATTTTTAATTAAGAATAAACTTGTTATTTGATTTTAAAATTGAATTTTTATTTTCATTGAATGTTAAAAAATAAAATTATCAATCAATAAATATTCTAACATATATTTTCAACAATTCAAAGAGGTAGAATCTTTAGAATGTTGACAATCTATAAATTTATATTCATATTCTCCAAACGACCCCTAGATGCGGCAAACCGGCTGAGAATTAAAAAAAAAGACATAGAGCTCCACAGTCCATATAGAAATTGAAAGCTGAATAACCCAATTGATAATAAACCTTAAACATAAGTTATGAAAGAAATGGTAACTTAAACAATAAACAGAGGTTAAATAATATAAGTCCATGAGAAAGAAAGAGTGGACTTTGGTTCATTTGGAAACAGTACGTAGTTTTGAGAAGTGAGTTTGTGATACCTTGTAGTATTTGAGGGTCTGAACGGAAAATTTTCTATAGGAATTTATATAAGGTAGACAATTTTAGCGGTATGAAATTATTAAATCGTGGTAAAATTATGATTTCAGCACAAAATATGTTATTGTTGACTTTTCCGATAAATCTTCAATATAGTTTCACAATCATTGCTGTGATAAACCACCATGATGTGCTAACTGCTAAACATATATAGTAAAGAAAGCAGGACAACATTGGAAGGTCAAGGCATCCAATGGAATTGACGTTGGAACCATCAGAATCTTAGAACAAATGCATTTTCTCTCGAGTTGCAACAACATCCAGTGTATGGTCATATACAATCAGGCTGAGGGCTTGGATTGAATGGTGAGGGGAGACTTTGGAATGACTCAATATCAATTATTATAGACGAAGAGGAGTCATCTTTGTGTAGTGGAAAATTGGTTTCCCCAGATGCAAAGGGTGAAATGAATGACAGGTTAATAAGAGAACCGTAATTCAATTAATTACTCAAAAGCAAGGCAACATATACCCTTACAATTCCATAATGCCTGCATGTGTTTGTTCTCTGGTGGGAATGTTGAAATCGAAGTAAGAATAGTTGGAGTGATCAGTAAGGTAAACCTGAACTGAGGTATGTAGTATTTTGAACACAGTGAACCTCAATTGAGCATCAGTATACAGATTAATCTAGAAGCTTCCTGCACCGATTCCAATTCTGGAGAGTCGGCGGCCAGGGGAGCAGACTCGACTCTAGGAAGGGCAGATTTCAAATTGTTTCCGCTCCTCCGCTGGGCCAAGGGAATATTGTTGAATAGTCGACAGAGGGTACATAGCTGAGCGGAATTGTTTCAATTGCATCTTCGAAGCTTCCTGAACTGATTCCAATTCAGAAGAATGGATGGACAGTGGAGCAGATTCGGTTCGGGGAAGGGAAGATGGAAATTGTTCCCGCTCCTCCGCTTGGCCAATGAAATTCAAGTGACAAAGTCTGTTATTCCTCTCCTCATTCCGGTGACGATCAACTGTATTTGGCGGACGATGGAGAGGATGAGAGTTCAGTGAAGGGGACTACTAAGTCTAACACAATCAACACTATTTTCAAGCGCGTCCTAAACGGTGTATAGGGTCTTGAATCTTGATACGGCCTGAATACAATGCAGGCCCAAATATTAAAGAAACCACTTTCTCTCGCGGGCTGAAACCTAAAACACAGGTTTGAGCTTCGTTTGACAAAACGCGGAGCATCATTAAAAAGGGGTTAAATGTCCAGAAGGCCCAATTCCAGCCCAAGCTTGTTAATCAGCCCGCCAATTAACTTGTAACCAAAACTGAGCCTGCCAATTAATGGCAACCAAAACGGAGCACTTAGCCAGACAATTAATTCCAGCCCAAAATGGAGCACTTCATTAAGTGGCCAGGAGGATGAAAAGACAATAATGCCCTGCCGTGAAGCTCTCAGAAGCCTCCAATTTTGAATCCCTGCAAAAGTAGCCCATGAATCTGCTTCATAAATTTTATAGAAGTGACAAAATATGACAATAAATCACTAATATAAAGAAAAATAGTTACACAACAGTTTCATGAAAACATTATGTGTGTATGATTGATAAACATTTTGTGGTGTGCTAGCCAAATCTCTCTTGCCAAAATTACAACTATGGATTATGTGGAAGTTGCAAAATACTAAAAAGGGAAAAGGGAAAGAACCAATGAAGTTATATAAACATAAAATTATGGTGCTTTGTGTTGCATGATAGCAAGAGCTTAGCAACACTAGCATAGGGTTTAGCTTTGTATAATATAATAATAATTACTAGTAATGCAAACACTTAATCTTGTGTGTCGATTGAGTGGATCCTAACGATGTGAGCGAATACCACGATTTACAAAAAAAATTCAGACGTCATTTTTATAATTACGTATGAGTATGCTAATAATATCTTATCTTATTTCAAGAAAACCTTTATCCTTGCTCAAATGGTAAAGTGTGCAGCAAATTGTTCTGCACCACATCGACCAAATCAAATTGAACGAAATTTAATGCAGTTTAAATGTTTAATACTCAATCTAATGAATTTTATAAATAAAGATAAATGATTTGGTTCGGTCCGATTGGTGAAAGGACTTATAAGTTATAAAGTGCTAAATTTGACCCGAAATTGCGGTTAGTACAATGGGTAGAACTGAACCAGGACTGCAGTTTGCCAATTTCACTCCCAAGGGCCAACATGAAATGTGGGTTCCTAATCCATTTTACAGAAAGCCTCCTCTCTGGAATCAACGAGAAGTCCGGCGAGCGCGCTACTCCTTCCTCTTCTCGGCTTCCGCCGTCTCCGGCAGACCAGAGCTGCCTCCGGTCGACTTCGGTTCCCCATAGGCTGCTGCCTCCGAGTCCCGGGATTCGGCTGCAACTTCTCTCTTCCGATCTCCCTCCTGTTCTTCCGATCTCGCTTCAAGCACCGGTGCCTTCAACCCCTCGCCCTCTCGGTACTACTCAATAGCCCAATGCTTAGTGAGGTAACTTCTTCTATCCCTCACAATCCCTCCCTGAATCGCAGGCAAATTTTGAAATTGTGATTACTGATTAGAATTTATAACTATTGTCTAGTGGGTAGCTTGCCAATTTCGATTTCTATCAATTATCTTAGTTTCTTAGCCAAGTTCACGGATACTTCTAGTTTTAGCCCTGTTGTTGGCATGAGTCAGGAATTTGTGAAGCATGAATATAGTCAAGTTTCCAAAACAAACGTTCTTCATTGTGATACTACTTCAGGTTGAGTACTTCACTCAAGCTGCTTGTGCATTTGATCACTGGGCTGTGAGCTTCCAAGCCAAGGATCACTACATACTTTGATGTAGACTCGCAGCTCGCTTCATTTCTTACAAATTTAACTTCACTGCGCTTGTTGATTGAGTGTGATGTTTAGAGGTCAGGACTCTACGTGAAATGAAATCGTTCGGTCATTGTTAACTGGATTTGTTGTTTTTACGCAATGCAGTCAAGTTGGTGTAGTGGACCATGACATATCGGAATCTATAGCAAGAAATGAATGAATCGTCTATTGCTACCGCAAGATTTACTTACATACATGATCGAAAGTGGCCTTCGGCAGCAATTGATGTGCACCATGTAATAGTTCGGCAAAGCAATCTGAAGGGTTTATTAGTTTGCCTTCTTGCTTTTGGATTCTCGGCAAATGGATTATATCTCTTCATGGTCCTGGTGGGTAATTAATTATCTCTCTGCTACTTCTTTACAATGAGCGTTTTTTGGGACTGAAGATGGATGCTTTTAGTGGTTAAGAGTTATTTGGGACAGCAACTCAAGCTATACAACTTCTGGATTGACAGGATAAATCACCTTTCGCTCTTTTGTGGAGTTTACTGTTGAGTTCAATCCTTCTCAAACTTGGTATCGGGAAGTCTGTTCTGAAAGGTGAGAAGAAGTGAAATCAGCCTCTTGTCCTACAAAGCATCATTCTTTTTTTCTTGAACTCTATATCCTGTTTGCTAGTGACTTGCACTGATTGACACTTGCAGAGTCAGTTATGATCATGCCACATTTCGGGGTTCAACTCGAAACACATTATAAAAGGTGTGCACATAAGTTCTGATATTTGGCCTTCCGAGTTTCATTTTTGGGCCCTCTTAGCAAGTGAATTCGAAAATGAGAAAGTGGAAGCTGGCTGATGTTGAAGTAGGGTCTGAGATTTGCTTCTATTTGCAAGCCTCCATCTTTCAAATGAAAACAAACACAGCCATGCCATTTTGATTAGAATTTCAGTGGAAGCTTGTCGATATTAGATTCACTGTGGACCTTCCTGGCCTGTTTCTTTCTCTACTTGGTATTATCTGCTGGGCAGTGGAAGAATATCACGCCGCTTTGTGCCAGTGAGCACGATTCTGAAGCCATTGCTGCTAGAGCATGTGAATCCGGTCACTTCTTACTGGGTTCTGTCTCTGATTTTGCTTAAGGAAGAAGAACTGACTCCGGTTTTCAAGGTATGAATACAAGTTCTGGCATTTGGTGATAGTTATGGCATCTAGAATAGTTTAGATGAATTGCCATCTTCCAGGTAACAATTTTAGTGTTTCAGAGTTTTTTTTATTGTACATGGTATTGAGCGATGACTTGGACTTTGGTTGTTCAGGAGTTGCACCTGCCTTTGAAGATGCTGGTTCCTATCTGGAAGGAATTGTGTGGCTCTGTGTCTGGAGATAATGACTCTTCTGTACATTCAAATGTAGAAGATCATGAACAGAGTGTCTGACAAATTGGATTATCAGATCAAGGAAAGAAGAAGAGCTGAAAAATTTAGGTCACTATGGGTTTATGGGACTTTCCTTCTTATACCAGTCTTTCCCTGATCTGAGTACTTTAGCAGTCAGAAAAATGGCCTAGCCAAAATATTATCCAACGGCTATGATCACGGAATTATGCGATCCAACGCACTAACGTCAGTGTCCGAGTTCGAGGATGAAAAGGACAAAAAAAAAAGAGTATAAGAGGGACAAATAAAAGGACACGAAACATGTTCTTCCGCCTGGACATATAAAAGTAAGGTTTGGGGCTGGAGGTCATGTCTTTTGGCGGAACAAGGCAGCATGTCGATCTTTGAAGCGGAACAAGGCAGAAAGAGAAGAAGGAACAACTTGGGAATGGCGACACCGGTGGTCGGCGGCGGCGGCGAAGAAGCAACAACCGACCAATTCTCGAAACTGCCGGATGAGTTAGCGGTGGGGATCCTTTCGCGGTCGGCGACCACAATGAACGAAGCGGCGAGATACAGCAGCCTACTGGGGAAACGGTGGAGGAACATGTGGCAGTTGATCGATAGCGTGTGTTATAAACGCGCTGCTACGGATCGGGAAATCGCAGGAATCGACAAAGCAAGAATACGAAAGCGAGAATCGAAAACACGACACACGATTTACGTGGTTCACTAACACGATGTGTGTTAGCTACGTCCACGGGCGAGAGAGAGCCAGCGAGACCCCCGATTACCAGTCGTAGCGGCTGATAATCCGATTCAAGTCATATCAACAAATCTCCACCTTGACTTGAATCCTCTTCCTCTGAAATCTCTGATGTACTATGCTCCTTCTATCTCTCTCTCCCGCCATCAATGCCCCGCAGGGCGGAGTCACCCACTCAAGACATTCAGCAAGTCCAAGCAGTGTTGGAACTTGCCATGTGGAACCGGCTTCGTGAACATATCAGCAGGATTATCCGCGGTGCCGACCTTCTTCACCTTAATCCTCTTCTATGTCCTCAAGAAATGATACCTCACGTCGATGTGCTTAGTCCTCTCATGGTGGACTTGATCCTTGGTCAAGCATATTGCACTCAAACTGTCGCAATACACCACTGCCTGATCATGATGTAGACCAAGATCACCAACCAGTCCCTTCAACCATATTCCCTCCTTAGCAGCTTCTGTCAACGCCATATACTCTGCCTCAGTAGTAGACAATGTCACTGCCGACTGCAAAGTTGCCTTCCAGCTCACTACAAAACTCCCAAGAGTGAATACATAACCAGTCATCGATCTCCTCGTGTCAACATCTCCAGCATAGTTCGAGTCAGAATACCCAGACACCAAGCACTCTGTATCATTTCCGAAGCTAATCCCCACATCAGGTGTACCCTTAAGGTACCGAAAGATCCTCTTCACAGCCTGCCAATGCTCCTTCCCAGGTTGTATCATAAACCTGCTGACAACACTAACAGCATGTGCAAGATCAGGTCTAGTGCATACCATAGCGTACATCAAGCTACCTACTGCACTAGCATATGAGACTCTCGACATGTACTCCTTCTCAGCCTCCGACTGTGGTGCATAAGCTGAGGATAGATGAATATTTGAAGCACTAGGAGTATTTAAGGGCTTTGCTGAAGACATGCCAAACCTCGACAGTATCTTCTGGATGTAGCTCTTCTGTGACAAGAAAAGCTTCTTCTTCGATCTGTCCCTGTAAATCTCCATACCCAAGATCTTCTGAGCAGCTCCCAAATCCTTCATCTCAAACTCAGCACTGAGAAGCCCCTTTAACTTCTCGATATCAGACTTCGACCTCGCAGCGAGACCGCCGATTACCAGTCGTAGCGGCTGATAATCCGATTCAAGTCATATCAACAGCGCGGTTCTGGATTTCAACAAGTCCGACGACGACGACAGGAGATCCGAGCCGCAGCGGCGGCGGTTCGTGGACCGGGTCGACCAAGCCATCGGTTTGATCTGACAGTCCAAAACCAGACTGGACGAGTTGAAGATTGTGTTCAAGTTTACCGAGATGGAAGAGGCTGGGTGGAGGTGGATCCAATTCGGTCTGGGCGAGGGAGTCAAACGGCTTACCCTACTGTCTCTGTTGCGCCCCGGTTGGGAGGCTCGCGACGCGATCCCTGTCCCCCTCTTCACCCCTGAATTCGTCGCCAAGCAAGACCTCAGCCGCCTCGAGGTTTTGGAGTTTCAGGGCGTGTCCAAGATTCCTGGAGGAACTCTGGATCATGTCTTGTCACGCTGCCACTCACTGCAGCACCTGGCTCTCAACAATTGCTCCTTCCACGATGAGGATACAGTGATCAGAATTTGTCGTCCCAACAATGACAACCTGCAGAGGCTGACATTTTGGTGTCCAGAAGAAGAGTTCCACAATGTCACTAGGATTGAAATCTTTTCTGCCCCTGGTCTTCGTAGTTTGAAGGTGGGTGGAGGACCAGCGTCCCAAGGGTCAAATTCGGAGACGACATTCCTCAACTTCGGGAATTTGAGTATTGTAGGCACATCCAGTTTGCGGCGGATGGTGATGAACACTGCTACTTCCCGTGGTCTCGGTCTGAATCCAACAAGTTTGCGCCTCGATTGCAGTTTCTCAAGTACGACCTCACCACTGACAACTTTAAACCTCTATCTGTTCGGGCTCCTGAATGGTTGCGGTTTGAGAAGCTCACGGTGTTGGATTTATCCATATATATAGACATTGCTGGTACAAGTATGTTGGAGTGCACGGCCCTGCTGAGGGCAGCTCCAATGTTGCGCCAACTGTTCATATCGTTCATACATTTGTACTACTACAATAAGTGGGAGGATCCTGAGCAGGAGTTGCCAACTTGGAAGCATCACTCTCTGCAGGTGCTTCACCTGCACGGGGTGCATCCTAGCGACTGGCAGGTTGTTGATTGTCGCAAACCTCAGATGGAGCTCGCTGCCTACATCATTATGGCCTCGCCTTCACTGAAGCAGGTCCTTATTGATACCAAAAATTTAAGATCCACTGCCCCCAGGGAACCACTTCAGGTTGATGCTCATATCTCTGAAGCTAAGATGGAATTGGAAGCTCGACTCAACTCTCACACCACCACCTCCCAAATTCACTTCACGTATCTATAAGTACTTGTTGCTCTGTCAAGAGGAAGAAGAAGAAGAAGCAGCAGCAGCAGAAGAAGAACAAGAAGTAGAAGCAGAAGAAGAAGAGCAAGAAGAAGCAGAAGAGGAAGAAGAAAAGGAAGAAGAAGAAGCAGCAGAAGAGGAAGAAGAAGATTCTTATTTAACATGTTATTATTGTCCCAATCAAGTTCTTCTTTTCTTTTCTGCTCTTCCTGTCATCATGTACAAATGTATTCTTCCATTGTTATTACTGTTGCTATTAACTTTAAGTAGTTGAATAAGCCTTCACTATGTAGTTGGTACTAGTTGAAGATGGAAATGTGGAACTCCATGAATAATAATGTAATTTGCTAGCTTATATTGACATCCAATTTGTTGTCTCAAAGGAGACAACTGGGGTGTTCCATCCCAGATTATCTACCATTGGGAAATTTACTACAAACTTTAGTTCAAAAGTAGAAAGACTAAAAAATGAACATACCGAAACAGTGGCTCCGATGAAGACACAGCAGAACAGAAGGGAATGATCGATCAAGTAAAAACAGGATTCCATTAATAACCAGCAACACCATTCTAAACGTCTCAACAAGAAAAGAAAACAGTGCAGCAAAATTTCAACTGTAGACACCAAATCAGATAGTATCATCCACAAACCAAAACTTTGGGGGTCCTATAACAACTGGTTTGGGGAAACTTTATAGTCAAACAGACTGAAGCTCAAACCATCGGCATCAGACTCCTCTTCAGGCTCTGGTTTCTTCTCCTCTTCCTTGGCAGCAGCCAAAGTTGCTCGGATCCTGCATAGCAAAAACATTCAAACTAATTAACAACTAAAGTAAAAAACAATGAATTGTTCAATAAGTCAGTTTTAAGGGCATCGAACCTTCAAGTACTCTTTTACTTGCTCTGCCTGAGGGTAGGTGTAATCTGTCTCCCACAGCAATGGCCAAGACATTCTTGTAGGCATCGGCAAACATGTGGGGCGCAGCAGCCAGAGTCGGGTATGCAATGGCAAGCGAGAGTGCAGTAACCATGGAGACACAAGAGGCAAACTTCCCCATATCTTCTGTAAGATCGAGAACCTCAGGGATAAAGACCAACCCATCGTCATAGACAGATTCGGCCACCTTAGCAAGAAGGGCAGCCTCTGAAGACCCGGCCTTGTCACCCTTCCTAATCAGCTCCACAGGGGTGATGATTTCGACAATCCCCTTGTTAATCTTGATGGGAATGTTCAGCACCTGCAGAGTGCCAGAATCACATGAAGTCCCTTTGTAAAGAAAAAAAATCAAATTAGAAAATAAGGACAGAGCAATACGGCAGTCAATAACCTGGAAGAAAGATTTATGAGATGGATCGAGTCCAGTGTTTCCAGGAGGCACAACAACATCAATTGGGGCAACCAGACCAACACGAGCAGGTGCTCCGACCTGTAAATTCAAATGGTGCAAAATCGTTTGTCAAAAACAATATGTATAAGTAAATACCACTAACAACCACATAATACTATAATAAAAGTAAGAGTTTGTAATCTAATTTACCTTGTACTTGCCCACTTCCTCGATGACTTCCTTCAGGTCACCTTTAGTGAAAATCAGACCAACATTACCCTGAATCCAAAGGAATATTGATCAGAAACAATAGATAGACCTTCAAGTTCAGGTAAACGAAGGTTTGTTATAACAACCACATTTCTGATTCTGGGAAAACACAGTTCTAACAGCATGCGAACCTACACCATAGAGCTTCAGTGCAGGGTAACAGAGACCTAGTGCAGTAACCCAAGTTCCCATTCAGAGAAGACGCAATCTCTAAGACCTTTCCCTAGTACGAGAGGACCGGGATGCTACATGTATCACATTAAACCTTATGACTGGCAAACCAAGAGGATATGTTTCAATCGGCTATTCACTCATACAAACCGTAACAGATAATACTACGTTCAAAACACAATTCAATATGATATTCCAAGTCAAACATAGTAAACAGGTTCAATTATTTATTTATTTATTTACTGAAGCAGGGGGAGGAGATTGAAAATAGCCTTGTACCACGTAAGATAAAAAAACTCTGCAAATGCGAATTGTTTATGATGCCATAACTATCACCTAATGCGAATTCAAGTTGGGGAGGATTTTAAAAATCTAAACAAACATGCATAACTTGTATTCATACATTGAAAACCGAAGTAAATTCTTCTTCCTTCAGCAAAATCAGAGACAAAACCCAGTAACAAGTAACAGGACTCACATGCTCTAGCAGCAATGGCTTCAGAATCTTGCTCACTGGCACAAAACGGCATGATATTCTTCCACTGCACAGCAGACAATACCCAAGTAGAGAAAAAAACAGGTCAAGAAGGTCCCCAGTGAAATCTAATATTGACAAGCTTCCACTGAAATTCTAATCAAAATGGCATGGCTGTGTTTGTTTTCATTTGAAAAAACGGAGGCTTGCAAATAGAAGCAAATCCCAGACCCTCCTACATCAGCCAGCTTCCACTTTCTCATTTTTCAATTCATGTGCTAAGAGGGCCCAGAAAGGAAACTCAGAAGGCCAAATATCATAACTTATCTGCACACCTTCTATAATGCGTTTCAAGTTGAAAGTCGAAATGTGGCATGATCAGAACCGACTCTGCAAGTATCAACCAATGCAAGTCACTAGCAAACAGGATATAGAGTTCAAGAAAAAAAGAATGATGCTTCGTAGGACAAGAGGCTGATTTCACTTCTCCTCACCTTTCACAACAGACTTCTGGATACCAAGTTTGAGAAGGATTGAAGTCAACAGTAAACTCCACAAAAGAGCGAAAGGTGATTTATCAGTTTTATAGCCTGAGTTGCTGTCCCAAATAACTCTAACCACTAAGAGATTGTGGTTTTCTGGCCAAATTAAGAGATTGTGCAGAGAAAACTTGGTTTACCCCTTTGGAGGTTGACTTTGATTTGTTGCTGTTGTGGTTTGAGATGGATGACTTCTCCTTAGATTGTTTCGTGACTGTACCAGACACAATCTCGAATGTAGTTGGGAGTTCATTTATCATAGTGAAGAGTCTCTTCCTGCAGCATTTCAGAAGAACCAATCTTAATCACGTTCTCAAAATGCTCTCAATTTTTTTAGACAATTCCTTCATTATGTTCTATGCAGGATTATCTTCATTAGATTTTGCCACAACTACAGTATCATGTCAAGAACGAAAATGCCAATGCATTTGAAAACAAAAGATAGCAATTACGTAACACAAGAACTGGTGGAAACTTAGACTACGGTTCACCAAAGAGCACATAAACAACTGGACTCGAGATATCAAACTCAGAGAATTGTCCTAGAGCATACCTGTGAGCTTTATCAAATCCAAATCTGGCCCCAAGACAGAATGCAGCAGAAAGCAACCATGCATCTCTGTGCACAGCAACAAAAGATAGCCAGTCTTTTTCTTGTATGCCATCGCTTGCAAAGTGAATACCCAAGGCAGCTTCTGGAAGCTCAGGTGGTACTTCTTCAGCTGGCAAATTGACTTCCCATTGTTTGCCTTGAAATGGAAAACCGTACAAGCACAGGTTTTGCTTCTCTGAAAAGAAAGGCATATATTTAAGGCACCAGGATATAGCTACAACTACACGAAAATTAGAACAAGAACACCAAATGAATAGAAAAACATCCAATGCAAAAATACCCACAACAAGAAGGCAGGGGAAGGCAGAAGTTCCTAAAGTAACATCAGCCTTGAGGAAATGATAAAGAGTACATGACACAGAAGGGGTGGATGATCCTGATTAACATGATATGAATTTTGAGGGCACAGAAAAACTCCATACCTGATATAATTATGAAGTGCTCTGAAGGAGTCTTCAAAGAGAATAAATTAATTCCCACTGGTTTAATCCTTCCGGCTCAACCAGTGGTCAAGCATATTGACCCTCGGGGGAGAAGGTTCCCCTTAATAATCTCGCTTTTCAAAGTCCAGTCCAATCTCCTCGGCTTTCTTAACTGCCCAGGCAAACTCAAGATCGAGACCTTCCCGGTAAAGAACGATCCTTCGTGAAATATTTTCCTTGTGCAGGTGGATCGCTACCTGCATATCCTCTGCGGACTCCACTGGGAAAGGCTCCCCGTCCTCGAATCCACTCTTGAGAATTCTCCTAATCCGCCAATTTTAGCACGGTAATCCTGGAATCGTGATTATCCATCACTAAGTGGAAACCCAGAAACCCTAAATGAGTAAAAAGGGAAAGAGTTAAGTGGAGAAGGAAACCCAGAAACCTAGAATGGATAAAGCAAGAAAACTAACAACACCCAATGTAAAGCAATCTGAATCCTATCTTTTTCAATGAACGCCAAAGCTCTTTTGCATATCGAAGAATCCCATCAAAGAACCCATAACATAATACCTGTTTGCGAAGATCAGGCAGCCTCCGGTTTCAGCGAAGTTACTTCTTGCGAGGGCAATTTGACTGGAGAGAATCCAAAAGAGGGTAGCGGACTGGAGAGAATCCGAAAGAGGGTAGCTGATGAACGCCGGGGACAGGAATTACAAATCGAAGTGAGAGTTGAGCAAGAGAGAGCGAGCGTGCGGACGACTGAATTAGAAATTCTCGCCAGCGACTGAATTAGAAATTTCGGTGTTGCAGCTTCCACATAGAAAAGAGAGCCGTTGGATTTTAAAACTAGCGGTGAATGGGCCAAACCGTCGGTTTTTGTCCCTGTTTTGGCCCATGATCCATGCCCAGGTTCATATTTTACTTTGTCTTTAAGCTCTAGGTTAGCCGTTATAAAATATAAAAAATAAATATCTAAAAACTAGTTTAAAAGTTAAATAATAGTTAAATTAAATATTTAATTCATTAAATATGGATTTTATACGTGTTACCAAAGACATTAAATGAACAGAAGAACATTAAAATGGCTTGACAATAATATGGATATGGAAGTTTTAAAGGATAAAATATGTACGCACATATATACATGTATTAAACGGAGCATTTACTAACTATACTTCATAGGATAAGGGTTTTGTTACTTTATTTTGGGGAATATTTGACTTCTTAATACCACCATTTTATCTATGACTAAATGCTTATTTCTATCAGTGTTCTTGTTCAATTCACTCTATTGTGGTATTTTTTTTTGTTCATAGGTAAAATATACATGGATAGCCATAAGTATCCATTTTTTGACAATAATAGCAACTTTTTGAAAAAATACACAGAAATAACCATTTCTTCAAGAACTTTAACGAACCAATATGGATGTTGATTGTTGACTGGACTAACAGTCAAGGTTGACGTGGCATGTTCTCGTAAAAAAATAAGGGGTTTATTTTATGGCAAAGAAAACAGGAAAAAAGGGGGTTTATGTTTCTCAAGATAGACCTAGCAAAAACTTAGGACAAAATTGAGTGGAGTTTCTTGGAAGATACACTCATAGCAGCCCACCTTCCGTAGAGATTCATTGGTCTAGTCATGGCTTGTTTCTCATTAACAAGCTTTCATGTCCTCTGGAATGGTGGAGAGACTGATGCTTTAAGACAGGGATGCCATCTCTCCCCTTACCTTCTCGCCTTGTGTGTTGAAAGATTAAGTCACTGCAACATCAAAGAAGTTAAGGAGAGGAACTGGAAACCCTTGCGTATTTCGCATGGAGGTCCTGATGTCTCTCATCTTCTCTTCGCCGATGACCTTGTCCTTTTTGCTGAGGCCAATACTTCCCATGCTGATGTTGTTTTAAAATGTTTTACTGATTTTTTTTGTGCCTCAGGTGAATTAGTTAGCAATGATAAGTCTAGAGTCTACTTCTCTGAGAATGTGAAAAGTAGAACCAAAATCCCCAGATAAACTTGACATCCAATCTACATCTGACCTTGAAAAGTACTTATGAGTTCATGTCTTGCATGGGAGACTCACTAAGTCTATCTTTAAGTACATTATATTATGGACAAAATGGATAAAAAAAACTACTAGCTGGAAAGCGAGAACTTTGTCTCTAGCTGGTAGGGTTACTTTAGCACTTGTTGTCCTAAATGTTATTCTCTTCTATGTCATGCAAACCTCCCTCATTCCTAGATCTGTTTGTGACTTGATTGATAAAAGGATTCGAGGGTTTGTTTGGGCCTCTCGAGAGGGAAAGAAAAAAAACACTACTACTGGCTTGGGACACCATTTGTAAACCCAAGAGTCAGGGTGGGTTAGAATTGAGATCTGCTAGAAGTTTAAATATGGCATACATGATTAAATTATCTTGGAAGATGCTTAACAATGAAAATGAGCTTTGGGTTCAAGTGTTGTAGGGGAAGTACTTTAAACACGGAAAAAGAGAAATCACATCTATGAAGAAGAGTAACTATTTCAATCTCTGGAAAGAAATGGTCAAGGCAATGCCTTTGATGAAAGTCGGATCTTGCTGAAGCATTAGAAATGGGTCTCAACAAACTTCTGGATTCACCCATTGGTGGAAAATGGGCTAGTTTTGGAAGACTTCTTGACTACGGATCTTTCACCAATAGAGAGGAACTCACCGGTCTCGGCTTGGTTAACTAGTGCAGGTGAGTGGAATTGGGATCGATTGGAAAGCCTTCTTCCTGAGCATATTCTCTCTCTCATTGCAAGGGTGGAAGCACCAAATCCTGAGTTTGGAGAGGATAGAATGATTCGGGGCCTGGAGCGTGATGGTAGATTCCGCCTCTACTAAGCTTACAACCTTGCAGTTGAAGTTGACATGGATGCTTCAAGCCCTATCTGGAAGCAGCTCTAGAAATGGAAGGGACCCAGCAGGGTCAATCACTTCCTGTGGCTGGTCATACTTGATAGAATCCTCGCCAACAAGGAAAGAGCCAAGAGGAAAATCACAACAAGCTGCTTGTGCAACCACTACAAAGACAAAGAGGAAAGTGTGCAACATATTCTCCGAGGCAGCTCGAAGGCCAAAGAAATATGGAACAAAATAAAACATATACGGACCACCAGAGATCACAACATTGCCTTTTCAAGAGTGGTTGATGGCCAACCTAATGCATTATGACAAGGGTGTGAACTTTGAAATTGTTTGTTGGAATCTTAGGAAACAACGGAATGAAGAAGCTAGGGATGGCAAACCCTTTAATGCTCAAGGATTGATGTGTAGTATAAAATCATGGTTCAATTCTCCCTATGGTCGAACATATTGTAAACCTTCGGGCTCACTCTCCCCCTCTCCTTTCAGTCGAGCAACTTCTTATTCTCTGTCTTTGATCCTGTCTAATAATAAATAAATAAATAAATGTGTTGGCTTTCTTTAACGACGCTTCCTTTTTTTCTAGGTTCCGAAAGTGCTTATTCCCCCTTGAGGGGGACTGTATTCAATACAAGAGGATCAGACTTGAACACTCGACTCTTCTTCCCGGTAGTCTCAATAGGATAGACTGATACCTTCTTCAAGGAATCAAGATCATTGACCATGCCCAGAAGAGTGTAAAGAGCATCACCAAATCTCCTTCTAACTCTCCTCCTGTGATCAAGCAACACAGAAAAATTGCCTGGAGACCTTCTGATGAAGGCTGGGTACAAGTGCTAACCGATGGATCTGTTCTCTCACCTACATGCAAAGCTGCAGCGGGAGGATTGATTAGAGATCACCAAAGCAAGTGTTATGATGCTTTTATCTGCAACTTCAGAGTCTGTTCCATTACAAGCAATGATCTAAAAGGAGCTATTGAAGGACTCCGCCTGGCCTACATGAAGGGTTACAAGAAAGTCCAGTTAAACCTGTAATCCTCCACAGTTAGGGTTGTTAATGAACCAAGCCGCTCATGAACGGCTTGGCGTCCGACTCGAGAAAAACTCGTTCGAGACTCGATTCGTCTTAATCAAGCCGACTCGCGAACAAGATCGTTAACTAAGCGAGACGAGCTCGAGCCATACCATGTTTAGCTCGAAATCTCGCGAACAAGCTCATTTAACGGTTTGGCATCCGAAAGGAATGGAATTTGTGGATTTTATGTATTGAAATTGGGATAAATGTTGTGTTTTGTTTTGCTAGACTTTGCTATAGGTTTGAATGTATATTTTGTGCTCAGTTCTAGCTCGATCTTAAGCTATAATTAACATTTTATGTGCTAAACTCGATTCTGGGCTTGTTAAACTTATTTGGCGAGCCGAGCTTGAGTCGAGATCGAGCTTTTATTTTCATAAACGGGCCGAGCTTTAGCTTGCACATTAAAGCTCGTGACGAACACGAGCCGAGCCCGAACTATGGCAAAATTTGGCCTCACTCGGATCATTAACAACCCTATCCACAGTCGTTGCTATCATCAGAAACTACAAGGATGATAATCAGCTAGACGACATTTTCGCTAATCAGTTTAACTGTCTTTTAAATCTTGATTGGGATGTAAAAGTCGAACATGTGTATAGGGAAGCTAATTTTGTTGCCAACTTCTTAGCTAATAGGGGCCATCTCTTTGATTTACGCACACATCTCTTGGATGTGTGCGACCCGGGACTAATCATTACTGTACCATGATATCGTGGGGGGTATCTCATGACCATCTTATTTCATCTATTAATTAGACGCCTTGGCGGCGATCTTTCTACAAAAAAATTCCTTTCCAATTACATGGAAGGAGAGGGGGGGGGGGGGGAGTCATCACGTAATCTTGCCTTCCATTTCTCTTCTCACATCCAGCTTGCCGATCAAGACCGATTTTCTCGTTCTCGTCGACCAAGAACAATTGTTTGCCGTAGAAGCCTCAGCCGTCGTGGAACCTATTCCCATTTCCCTCTCTTCAATTTATGGAACCTATTCCCATGTCCTTTTGTTGTCCGCCATTGAAGAGGAAACAAACAAGAGCTAAATCAACATCTAAACCCATTGATTCCACAAAAGCGACCCATTTCAGCAATCGACTCTTTGGAGTTCGCAACTTAGAACCCCCAAAATAAGATCCGGTATAGATCCATCTCTCTGCTTCTCCATCGTCTCTCTCCTGCTATGTAGATCTAACATGAATTTTAGGCACCGCCATAGCGATTGAGGTGGTGACTGAGCTCCAAAAGGCTGTAAGGGGATGAATTTTTTAAAGTTGAAAATGTGATGTGCCGATTACGTGCCATGGAGAGTCTAGGTGAACATTGTCATCCAGGTGGCAGCCATATTAGCATAACGTCCACTTAACTGAAGGAGTCGATGATGATGTTAAAGTATTTGACGGAAACAGCTAAATTAGTAATAAAAAAAGCTTTTAAAAGTGTGGCTACATTTACGTATTTTTCAAAAAGTGGCTATTAAGTGGATAGTTAAGTTATAGTTATCCAAGTGTATTTTTCCTTTTTTTATCGAAACCTGTAGGCTATCATCCAACAATTACGATGGATCCAAAGGAAATGGTCTGAATCGATCTCAAGAAAAGGAGAGACATTGATGGATTATCCACCCAATCACCTGTCGATCCCGACCAGAAACAGAGTGGGCAAGCCAGTGAGCTATATCGTTGTTCCATCACGGAGTGAAGCTCTAGGTCACTGAAACATGCGAGAATCTCGAATTAACACATGCCAATCTCTTGGTCATCACACCAAACCCCCCAATTCAGTACGAACTCTTTCCCCTTTAACCAATTTCCATATCTAAGCTTGGCAATCAACTTCTAGAATGAGAGGGCTCAGCTCTCTTCTGTTTGCCTCC